AATGACTTAGGAGTGCGTGCGATTAGTGCAAGAAGTAGTCGCTAAAGAGCGATAAGAGAGTGATGCACTCGTTCTAAGATATCGATATGTCCAAGATATATTTGGATGTCGTCGGAGGAGAAAAGAAGCGAGAGATTGTATAACATCGAAATTTATGCGTCATAGTGTTACTCACATTCGGCGTCAACTCCTCTTCTCGCCACTTTAGGATATCCCGATGGCAATATACAAGAGGTTTACGTCCGGTATAAAAATAGGATCAAAAGGATGGAGACTGCCATCCAACAATAAGTCGATCAAATTAGCAACATGCAAACTCAATTGTAGAGAGTTATGAGATTATTAGAGAATCTCTAGTCGCCTCCTCGTCCCTTATGTTAACCATTCCTCAACCTACTAGTCGGTCGTTCTTTTCATCGACTAGCGAGTCGAAAGATGATGTAGGAGATGATGATAAAGAGAACTAATTTTTTTTTTTTTAAAAAAAAAGTTTTAAATGTTTTTATATATCTTAACGTATTTATATATTTGTTTTAATTTAATTTATATAATTTTAATTTTATTAAATAATATTTAGTATTTTAGTAAGTTATTATTTATAGTTGTTTATTATTATAAATACTAATAAACGGATATATATATGGATTTAGCAACGAGAATAGAGAGGGTAGTTAGCGACGGAATTGTGAGGATATTAGCAACTATAATTTAGCGATTGCCCATTTTGTTGTTATTTAGAGACGAATTTATGTGAAAGTAACGATGGTATGATGACGGATATAAGACATCACGGACGACCGATTAAAGACAATTAGAGACGAAAATTCTATAATTTAGTGATGAAAAATATTTGGTCACTAAAAAAATAACGATCACCATATTAGTGATGAAATATATGTTATTTCTAATATGTCGCTATTTAGTGAAATTTTGATAGTATCATCACATGATTGAAAAAATTCATTATATTTTTGAAAAGTATTTTAGGATAGAGATTTTGAAATTAAATTCTTAAACTCTCTTCGAAGTCTTAGCATTTGGTATCTAACTATTGAGAGCTCATTGGTATAAAGCATAACCATTATCTTTTAAGAGTAATAAGTGATGAACTTTCTTTCGAGGGAATTTATACATGAGTAGGAATTTCAAATGGGAATGAATTAATTATTACAACACCCAAAAAGCCTTTTTCACATCACACTTGAGAATTAGCGGATGATGACAATATAGGAAGCAAGATAATCTCATGAAAGTAAATAACCCATTCAGACAGGAATCTAAACATGGGATCGGGAAAGGTTTCTAATCTCGTACATTTCATACCGATCGTATGAAAGTGGATTCTTATCTATGTATGAAGGTGGCACATGGGAAAGCACAACTTTGTGAAAAAGCTTTTATATATATATATACACACACACACATAATGCGCGCAGCATAAAATGTGCGTGCGTGTGGCTCCACATGATTTCTAAGTACTTCAGTTAGTAAAAAGGTTATTTTTTATCTTTTATCTTTTTCTTTTCCCTATACATGCCCACTACAGCTAGAGTAAATTATAAATTAGTTCTTTGGTTTCTAAAAAAGAATTAATTAATTTTTTTCAAAAAACTATTATTTATTTTTTTAATCAATATTAATTTTTTTAATTTAACATTATTTTTATTTAGAAAAAGATTTTTTATCAATTTTTTTATATTTTATATTTTAGAAAATTAAAAATAAAAGAAACAATAAAAATAAATTATAAATAGATTTAAAAATACAAAAATTAAATAATTAGTTTTTAAATAAAATAGATTAATTAATTCTTTTTTGAAATAAGAGAGACTAATTTATAATTTACTCACTGCACGTGCCATTGACAACGACTTTGCTAAAATCACATGGGAAAAAAATTACAAAATGATATGTTAAAAATATATAATTTGTTTTTTTGAAAAACATTGAATATATATAAATTTAAAATATTATCAGTGTAAAAATAAGGGAGTCTCAGCACCTCCACCTTTAGCGTTCGGTTGCAAAGTGATGTGATGGATGGTTGCAGTAGATGGCAGGGATAGGGATGGTGGGGGGTAAAATTCTCTCGTCGGCCTTTTCCTCTGAGTTCTTTTTTGTTGCCCTTTTTCTCATTGCTTCTGAGGTTTTTTGATATTGGGAAGAGGCTGAGAAGGCTTGGGTTGGGTCTTCGATCGGCGGCCGCGACGCCGTTCTTACCCACGAGGTTTTTTTTTTTTTTTAATATCAAAGTAGAAGAAAAAAGTTAAATTAAACTTCAATTTATTTGTTAATTTGATCTACCTTTTCTATTTTACAATTTGGTTTTATTGGGGCTAGGTTTGGCCTCGCCATTATTTCTACCGGTTGGGTTTTTTAGGACAGTTCTTGTTCCTTTTTTTTTTTTTCCTGCAAAACGAATGGTAATTTGTTTGTAAAATTAGGAAAATAAATTGAATTATCTTCAAATTTTAATAAAATTAAATGGGTTAAACTTCTCCCAAGTTTTAGTCTATTTAAAAATCATTGTAAGAATTTCTAATTTCAAAATTGACCTTTTTAAAATTTTATTTGTTTGAAATTTAATATATTTTTTAGTTTTAAAAACAATGATTATATAAATAGTTTTAGGATGAAATTATTCGATGAGATATACCTAGAGCTTTCAAAAAATTTGAAACCATATCAGATTATTTTCTAGTTTTCTCAATTTTCTACATTTTTTATAGTCAAAAATAAAAAAATAATTTCCAATCTTGAAAAATTTTATTTTTTTTAAAAAATGGATTGGATTTTTCAAATTTGACCTTCATTAAATTTTGTTTGTTTAAAATTTATTTTATTTTATTTTTATCAAAAACAACGGTTATATAAATAGTTTTAAGATGAAAATATTAAATAATATATATTTAGAGCTTTCCAAAAATTTTGAGATTATTTTCTAATTTTCTCAATTTTTTATATTTTTTATATTTTTAATATTAAAAAAATTTCCAACTCTAATTTTTTTTTCAAAAAATGGATTGAATTTTTTTTTAACATGTACACAAAGCATTAGCTCAAAATACCAAGAACTAAATTTTTTAAAGAGAGATTAATAACTAAAATTATAAAATAAACTAAAATTTTAAAATAAATAAATAAAGTTCAAACGAAGTCAAACATGAAATTAGAAGCTAGATAATTTTTAAATAAACTAAAATTCAGGACATTTTTAGCTCATTTAACCTTTTAATAATTAATATATAACACATATAACTCCTAAAAATAATAATTATTAAAAAAATTCAGTTAATATTATTATGATCCTTTTTTTTAAACAGTTCTTTTGGATAATATGACATGAATATAAATTAACAATATGTAGATAAATAAATATTTATAATATTGTTAAAAAAATTGCCTTTTTAAAATATTATTAGAGTTTGTCCAAAAAAAAAAAAACAAAGCATCTCTATATTCTCTCATCAAAATTTTTTCCATTCAAATCTTCACTTTTCATATTAATATGCACTCCATTTCTTTCTCTTCAATCACCAAATATATATATATAAAATGTGTTAATTTAATATATCTGAAAAAAAATCTAACGATAAAAACTAAATAATTAATTTTTAAAATAAAAATAACTAATTAATTCGTTTTTCAAAAACAAAACGGACTAATTCATAATTTACTCTTCCTGTGGCAATTGTTTGTGGAATAGGCCGCTGTTCCCGGCATTGATAAGGGCAGCTAGATAGGAATGGAGATCCGTACTTCAACATTTAATACGATGGCAGGATGACGCTCGATGGACCCATCCGTCCATTGCAATAGTTTAGGATTTACAATCCAAAATTCTTCAGTTGTAAATTTCAATCAATTAAATATTTATATACAACATAAGATAATTAATTATTAGGTTTTTTTTTAATTTTTTTTTATTGTGATAAGAATTTTATAGTTTTCTATAAACATAAAATTTTGTTTTCATATTATTATGTGATTGATAAGTTTTTGGACTCAAACTCAATGATTCTGAATTGAAATGTCAGAATTATTTTAGAAAAACACAGTATATAGAAAAATCTGGTATCATCAAAATCATAGTTGTTGATATTTGTCATTTCCCCCTTATTTGGCCATGTGAGTGCCCTACCCTACGACATCAATGGGGACACTCATGATAGCTAGAAGTGCGAAAAATTTTATATTATTCCATAAAAAATTATCAATATTTTTTATATAAAAACAAAAAAAATAAAAAATAAAAAAATTGTTAATGCATAAGAGGAAAAAAAAAAAAGAGAAAAAATTAAACTTATTTTAGTTGGTTCGGATGTGATATGTATAAGTAGATTTGTATAATTATTTGTGAAGTATTTTAAAACTTATTTAAGAAGTTCAAAACTTTTTAATTTAAAAAATCTAAAATTTTCCTCTTCAGTTTCTTTTATTACTATATAACCATTATTAGTTTACTTTACCTAAAAATATACCTTAATAAATTCATATTTGTGCCCTTATTCCTAAAATTTTGTCACAGAAATGAAAACAAAAATGATTTTAATTAATTAAACAAAGAAAAAGAAAAGAATGCTACAAAACGTGATTAACCATCAATTGCAAGTGCGTAGAAAACAGGCTATAGAAATTTCAAAGAAATACAGCACGCAATGAGCAACACGGCAAAGGACACTGAAGATAATGACTCTCTGTCCACTGTCATTATCGCCGACCGGTCCCACGAAACATTTGCGTGACCTTTAGCACTTCTGTTGCCATCCAAGTATTTATTATTAATTTTTCTCTAGCAACTTTCCGCAAATTTGACCTTAAATCATTAAACTAACCGATAATAAATGTGACCTGACTTTTTCCGTTGACTTCAGTCACTGATTGGCTAACTTCTCTCCACTTCTGTCCACACGTGTCATCTCATCTCATAAAAGATACCGCTAACTTTCTTTTTTCCAATATGCAGAAGGCTACTAGAAAGAGAGCTTGATCAACAAAAGATGAACTCTCTCAAATTCTCCATAATCCTACTCTCCTTGCTTACCCTTGCTATTAGCACTCAAGCACAAGATCCGACTTTCCTCTATCATTATTGCCCAAACACAACCACCTTCACAAGAAACAGCACCTATCAGGCCAATTTAAATCTCCTCCTCTCTTCACTTTCCTCAAACGCAACCCGCAACAACATCAATGGATTCTACAACGTCTCTGCAGGACAGGATCCTGATGCTGTCTACGGCATGTTTCTTTGCCGTGGTGATGTTAGCAACAGTGTTTGCCGAAGTTGTGTCAACTTTGCTACCAAAGACGTACTCCGAAGGTGCCCAAATGAGAAAGTAGCCATGATATGGTTTGATGAGTGCGAATTGCGTTACTCAAACAGAAATATCTTTTCTACTGTAGACCAAGACTTTACCTTATTCATGTCGAGTCCAAACAATGTTACAGACCAACCTCAGCGCTTTAACCAGCTAGTAGCAACCACCATAAATGATATAGCGACTCGGGCTGCAGCTGCTCCTTCAGGTGCCAGGAAGTTTGCTGTTCAAGAGGCAAACTATACTGGGCAACAAAAATTGTACACTCTTGTGCAGTGTACACCAGATTTACCTAGTTCAGGTTGTAGTCGGTGTCTTGAGGGTGCTATTTCAAAATTAAGCAATTGCTGTGATAGAAGGCAAGGAGGTAGAGTCATATTTGCAAGTTGTAATTTTCGGTATGAGCTTTATGAATTTTATAATGCAACGGCAGCAGCGGAGGCTTCACCGCCTCCGCCTCCTCCTCCTGTGGCACTATCTCCTCCTCCGGCTTCAGGTTCAGGGACAAGACCGAAAGGTAAAGTTGATTATGCCTATTTATTTCTTTTGTCCTTGTATGATCCTCAACTGTCATCACCATAAAAGATGGGATATTCCTTTAGAATACACGTGGAAGAAAAATATTATTTGTCATATACAGAAATTGATTAAAATTTTAATTCATTTTTTAGCCGAAAAATATAAAATTATTTCACAATGAATTTGATGAAAAAAATATTATATTAGGTCGATTTGTAAAAATTAAATTTTCTACTGTTATAAGTAATCCATATATTGAGGTGGTAAAAGGGCAGCAAACGACATATAGTAATTCTATGATACTTTTCAGGTTTTCAGGTTAATGATTATAGGGCTCCTTTATTCTTGATTTCTTCTTTAAATTTTTTATTTTTTATTTTATCTTAATCGTGTCTATTAACGTTTGATTCTTGTTATTATTGTGCCATTTTATTAATATACCGTTAATGTTACATGTGTAAACTAATTTTATTTATATTTTTTAATTTAACTAAAAATATTGAAAAAAGATGAAAAAAAATAAAAAAGACCTGTATTTATTTTCAGAATATATATATATATATATATATATATATATATATATTCAAGATTCATTTATTTAGGTTCGTAAAAAAAATAATAAGAAAAGCTGTAGAATATATTAATTCATAACAACTTATTTTTTAAGATTTTTTTATTTTTTTTATTTTCAAAATTCATTTATTTAAATTCAATAATAAAAAAAGCTATATTTGTGTCTAGTTAACTCATACTAACATTTTTTTGTAACTTTTATTTTTAGTTTTAACTCACACGCTGCGGGCAGGATAAATATATAAAATCATTTAAAAAAATTATTTCAGTTTAATAATCTATTTTATGGTAAACAATAATTATAATTTTTTAATTAAAATTTTTTATTTAACTATTTTTTATTTTTGTTTTTAAATTTTAAAAATAAATAATAAAGAAAATAAATTATTAGTTTTTTTAAAATTTTAACGTCCAATTAATTGTTAGTTCTTTTAAAATTTTAACCTCTAACATTATTAAGAAATGAAAATAAAAAAAAGTTTAATTTTTAGAAAAGAAAAAAGGAGGCCAGTTGTTTACTGTTCAAATGAACAGTCAACGAGAAAAAAGGGAAAAGGAGGCTAGCGCTAGCCAAAAAAAAAAAATTAAAATTAAAAAAAAAAACCAAAGCACCGAATCAATGAATAGTGAAAAAACATAAATCATTAATATTAATCAAGAATTAAAAAACTTTGAAAATATATTTTTTATAATATTGTATTAAAAAATTAAAGTTATAATTAATAAATAGACTTTTATAAAAACTAACAAATGAAAAAAAATTTCTTATTTAATGCTGATGAGAAGATTTATTTTTAAAATTATCTATGCAATGCAACGGGTAGATAGAATAAAATCATTTCAAAATTTTATAATTTTTATTTAATTATTATTATTATTATTATTATTATTATTATTATTATATAATTTTTGCTTAAAAAAACATGATTTATTTTTCTTTATTTAGGGATTCCTAAATAAAAGCTTGCAATATATAATTTAAACCTAAAATAGTAATTAGGAATTTAAAAATAAATACTTTAAAAATATATTGTTTTATAAGAATATATCCAAAAAAATAAAGTTACAATTAATGTATAGATTTGCATAAAAATTAACCAATAAAAAATAAAAATTTATTCTTATTTAATGTTGATGGAAAAATTATTTTTTTTAAAGTAGATATATTTGATTTATACATATTATATAATCGTCGGTTTGTGTAAAAAAAAAGTAACGATTAATTTTTAAAAATTTTAACACTCAATTAAAAAGAAAAACATAAATTGATGAAAAAATTAAAGAAAAGAAGAAGAAGAAGAAAAGGCTGGTAGTGCATCGGCTAGGGATTAAAATTTTTATTTTAAAATTTTGAGGATCAAAACGAAATAATTTGAAAAGTACAAAAAAATCGAAAGAAAAAAAATACTAAGAGTGAATTTTTTTTTAAAAAAAGAAAAAACCTAAGAGTGAATAGTACATTGTGAGGTGGAGAATAGTATTGCCATAAAAACAAAAAATTTAAAAATATATTGTTTTATAAGAATATATCAACAAAAATAAAGTTATAATCAATGTATAGACTTGCATAAAAATTAATCGAGTGAAAAAATAAAATTTTATTCTTATTTATTATTGATGAGAAGATTTTTTTGTTAAAAAAGTGTATATATATATAATGGTCGGTTTATGTAAAAAAAACAATGGTTGATTTTTAAGAATTTTAACATCCTATTAAATAAAAAAACATAAATTGATGAAAAAAAGTAAAGGGAAAAAAAAGGCATGTAGTGCATCGGATAGGGATTAAAATTTTAGGGATCAAAACGAAATAATTTGAAAATCATAGAAAAAATGTAAGAAAAAAAGGTGAAAATTACAAAAAATAATCAAAACAAAATAATTTGAAAATTAAAAAAAAAAAAGCTAAGAAAAAAAGAAAAAAAAAACTAAGAGTGAAAATTATATATATATATATATATATATATAAAAGTAAGAGTGAATAGTATATTGTGAGGGTAAAAAAAAAAAAAAGAGTGAATAGTACATTGCGAGGGGTATTTTTAAAGTATGTACATTTGATATATATATATATATATATAATCATCGACTTGTGTAAAAAAATAACGATCGATTTTTAAAAATTACAATACTCAATTAAATAAAAAAAGAACATAAATTAAGAAAACAAACAAAGAAAAAGAAAAGATATATAGTGCATCATCTAGGGATTAAAATTTTTATTTTAAAATTTTAGGGATCAAAATAAAATGATTTAAAGATAAAAAAATAACCTAAGAAAAAAGTAAGAGTGAAAATAAAAGAAATACTGTAAAAAAAAAAAACTAATAGTGAAAATTTTTTAAAAAAAGGAAAAAAAGAAGATTAAAAAAAAAAATACCAACCTATTCAAATGAGCAATACAGTGGAGGCAGTTCACTGTTCATTTACTGTTCATTTGAACAATAAACTCCTCATGCCGTTTAGTTATATAAAGAATAAAGAATAGTATAATATAATATAATATTTGTGTCTGTAATATATTAACTCATCCTATGATGGTCTTGGTCCAATTCTTGTGAGATATTGTCCTATTTGGTAATGTGGTCTCACATTGTTGTCTCCATTGTGCAAAACGTGAAAATAAATGAATAACAGGCATGTGTCATATTCAATAAGATTCCACCAATAATTGCCGACCCCAAACCAACTATTTCAAAGAAATCCTCCTAAAGAAGAAAAACCTCACCCGAACAATTCCTTCTCAATAAAACCCTCCAAAGAAAAACTTCTCAAATCTACTAAAAAAACGTGACAAACATATGAATTCTACACTCATTTTTATTTTCCTGATAGGAATTTGAGAACATTTCAACAAATTAATTTTTCTTCATGAATATTAAGTTCATTTCTCTTGCCTAGTTAATTAAAGATAGTATAATGAGATTAGAAAATTCTTAAGATTTTTACTTCTTACATCATAAATTTTGAAAATAGGAGGTAGTATAAATCTTAAATATGAAACCAATCTCTTGAAAATATATCCCTTTATCAAATATATTCTTAATATTTATCGAGTTGAATAAATTTAGAATGACTTGTATGTTGAGTATTATTATCTATGTTCATTTAGACTATTGGATTTCAATACAATTCTAAATCCAATGGTTATACTAATGCTAAAAAATAGATTGTAGCAATCTTATTGAGTTGGGAAAGTTGAACCAAATTGGAAATGACATATTGTCAACCAACGAGAGCAATAATGAACCTGATTTCTATTAAAACCTGTTTCTAATTATAATGGATTCAAAAGGTTTGGTTGATTTCTTTAAACTGGTTCTGAGTTTCGACTATAGATAATAATGAAAGGTTGAGATGAGAGGAAAAGAGAAGGAAATAGAAAGATAGGAAAAAAAAAAAAAAAGAGAGAGCAGGAGCACTGTGGACTGAGCTACAGTCAATCCACAGTAGTTTGTTTCTGTGTGAACACTGATTTTTGGTTTTGTTTTAGTTTTTTTTTTTTTTTTTTTTTTTTGTAATTTGTAATATGGCTTTGTGAGTAAAAAATAAACTTTAGTTTGATCATTAAATTCTCTTTTTTTCTTTAAAAAAATTATTTCTTAAGGTATCTAAATATTTTCTCAAATTTCTTAACCAAAAAAAAAAAAAAAAAAATTCTTAGCTCCTATGTTGTTGATCTTGGAGTCGTACTTGTTTGAATATACTTGAAAATGAAAGCTAAATTACTGTGGGTTATTGAATGATACATGTTTCTTTAAGCAGGAAAAGGTGGTGTCTCAAAAGTTCTAATCATAGCCATTGTCATCCCTGTTGCTGTTTCTGTTGTGCTTTTCTGCCTGGGTTTCTGTTTCCTAAGTAGAAGGGCAAGAAGCACGAAACAATCTGTACGAGAAAATGAGGGTAAAGAACATAGCAAATCCTTTGTTTTCCTCTCAAGGCAATGTCTTTTAAGTTTTGCACCGTTTCGGAAAACTCAATTGATATCTACTTGGGTTGTGCAGCTGAGGATGAGATTTCAACTGTGGAGTCCTTGCAATTTGATTTCAGTTCTATAGTAGCTGCCACAAACAATTTCTCCGTCGACAACAAGTTAGGTGAAGGTGGATTCGGCGAAGTTTACAAGGTAACTAGGAATTCATAGAGTATTTAAAGTTTGAAAACCCAAAAGATCTTGCATTAGAATTTCAGGAATTTGCAATAGTGCTTCTTTAACATTTGGTTCAAGTGCATTCTCAGGGAACATTTCCTAATGGACAAGAAATAGCTGTGAAAAGGCTATCGAAAAGCTCAGGACAAGGTGCACGGGAATTTAAGAATGAGGTTATATTGGTAGCCAAGCTTCAACACAGGAATCTAGTGAGGTTGCAAGGATTTTGCTTGGAAGGAGAAGAAAAGATTCTTGTCTATGAATTTGTGCCCAACAAAAGCCTTGACTACTTTCTATTTGGTATGGACTTTCAACTAAATGCTCATCAAATTGACGGGCATAAATGCTTTTTTATGCATCGGTTGTTCTAAATCTGGAATAGTTGCATTTGAACATATCCTCTGCACTTTGACTTCAATATTTGATTCTCGTGAACTTGTAGATCCTGAAATGCAAGGACTGTTGGATTGGTCTAGACGGTACAAAATAATAGGAGGAATTGCTCGAGGAATTCTTTATCTTCACGAGGACTCTAGGCTAAGAATTATACATCGGGACCTTAAAGCTAGTAATATTCTTCTAGATAGCGATATGAACCCAAAAATTTCAGATTTCGGCATGGCTAGGATTTTCGGAGTTGATCAAAGTCAAGGAAGTACCAATAGAATTGTTGGAACATAGTAAGTTTGGATCTAATTCCTATATATTGGTGAATTCAATTTCTGACATGGTAATTTTATTTCTTCTTTCTAAACATTCCTTTGTTTTCGCTGGTTTGTAGTGGTTATATGTCTCCAGAGTATGCAATGCATGGGCAGTTTTCTGTCAAGTCTGATGTGTATAGCTTTGGTGTCTTAATTCTTGAAATTATAAGTGGAAAGAAGAACAGTTCTTTCTATCAAACAGGAGGTGCTGCGGACCTTGCAAGCTATGTGAGTATGAAGTTTCCTCTTCCTTACCACCAATAATTCAAGATCAGGGATGAAAACCTGGAGCAAAAAAAAAAAAAAAAAGCATAAGATTGTTGCAACTTTTGACCCTTTCTTTCTTTCTTTTTCAGGTTTGGAAAAATTGGAGAGATGGGACACCTTTGGAAGTACTGGATCCAACTCTGACAGATACTTATTCAAGAAATGAAGTAATTAGATGCATCCACATTGGATTGTTATGTGTTCAGGAAGATCCAGCTATCAGACCCACAATGGCAACAGTTGTTCTTTTGCTCAATAGTTTCTCGGTTACCTTACCATTACCTCAAGAGCCTGCATTTTTTTTCCGTAGTACAACTGATCAAGGAGGCATTGCAACCAAGGAATTCTTTGTCGATCAGTCTAAAAGCAGGTCCGTGCCATATACTGGCGATGAAGGTTCAATTACTGAAGTATATCCTCGATAGGGAAAGCATGTGTATTTTGGAGATTTCTCCAAAATAAGCGATGGAAAATGCATGAAGTCAGCTTTTCAGTTTGAAACACTTCTTAAAATTGTGATTTTCATATCATGGTGTCCTATAAATCATGATCAGTAGTAGTTCACTTGAAACTAGCTAGTGCTTGATGTATATTGTAAACTTCAATATGACGGTAATGAAACTCAAAACTCAAAAGTACTATTTATAATCGCAGAAGACTTGTGCGCTTCAAAGTTTTCCATAATGTTCTTATATATATATATATATTTATAATCGCAGAAGACTTGTGCGCTTCAAAGTTTTCCATAATGTTCTTATATATATATATTTGATCTAGTGTACTTTCTATAGAGATAAATAATTGAGATTGAGATTCATCTAAAATATTTAAGTCTTATGATGGTGATCCTTCTTCAATTTTATATATTATTCATTATTGATTTAATTATTTAATATTGTATATGTGTTCTAACATCTACAGAATGGTTTATGTATTATGTATTCTATAGGGAAAAAAAAATCTCAAGATTAAGGCACAATATTAAACCCATCTAGAAAGTTTACCTCATTCAGACGGATCCTTTAATTTGATTATTATGAATGCGTGGATATGTGAGTTCCTCCTGCATTATACCTTCTGAAATGCTTCCGCATTTTAAAAATAATATTTCAATAAATTTTAGTTAGTGTGTGTTTGTTACATTTTCATGTAATTCGAGCTAAATAAATTTTTTTTTTGGGTATTTTTAATTGAAGAAGTATATTTATAATTGACCTTATAAACAATAAAGAAAAAGACATCAAGAAGTTGATGTAGTGATAAGCGAACTCTTTATAAAATATTCATCAATGAGATTGAAAATTTGAATCTCACCTACGGCAGTTTGCAAGTAGTTGTATATATACTTTTTTTTTTTTTTAATAAATGATTGTGATTACTTTTAAAAAACTAACATTTTGACCATACTACAGATGCGATGGGTGTCTTTTCAGATAAAAATATGGTGCAATGCGAATGCAATAAATTATGTTAAAGATGTGAAATAATCTATTTACTTTTTTATTATTATTATTTTTAACAACAACAACAATAATAAACAATATGGAAGTATTTTTTGTTAAGTTATGAAGATTAATATAGATGAGGATTCACGGTATAAAGTGTTATATAGATTCATTACGACGATCTTGCTAGCTAATTAGCAAACGGATGTCAAGGGCACAACGTCTCTTGTAGGAGCTCGGAGGTAAAGCTTTTGAAAGGTCTACAAAATATTAGACCCGGTATATAGATCCGTTAGGTCCGTTTTTATATATATATATATATAATCTTAGTTATTTACATTATAAATAGAGACAACACTATTTGTATTTGTAGTTGCCACTTGATAAAATCTAATAAGAAATCCTAATGCAATCGTGGAGTATATACCATTGCCAAACCATATAAATTTTTTATATCATATGATTGTTTTTTTTTTTTATTCTATTGTCTTGTTTCGTTTCCTAATACTTTCTTCTAGATTACGATAATTGGCATGAATATGTACAAAATGGAAATTTAACAGGCAGAGTTACTTATTTTTGTGACTTACTAAAGTTTTTTTTTCTATTTATTTTTATCATTATGATATTTTGGTCCAAGTTCTGTAAATAAAGGACAAGTTTTTCTACAACTGAATTTTAGATAGATATCAAACCAAACCTAGAATTCGAACTTCCTGAGAGTTAGGGTATGACCGGCTTCACTTATAGTCTATTGGTATTGGTCTTCACACCAAAACCATAATGTTAGGGATTCCAGGCTGGGAAGAGAGAAGCTCGAAAGAGTTGGGTGGAAGGGATAGTAAAGGACAAACTAAATTTTATATAGTGAAGTATGAGGCCCACTAGGCCTTCCAATAACAAATCAAAGAATTGGGCAGAATGATCCAATATTGAGAAACCCTCTCTATGCACATGCCATCACTGACTGGCCTTAGTCCAAAAGTTAAGGATCTCAGTTCAAAATGAATTCAGTTGGGCCATGTTTAGCATGTCCAACAAGCCCGAATTGTACCGCATTCCATTGAGGTTAATTTTCCTCTATCAAACGTCTTCCTAACCAAACAAGAAGGAAGTTGATTTTATTGAACCAAGAAGAGGTCAACTAGCGTTTTCGGTTTTTGGCCTACGTGCTTTTTATTGCATGTCACTTTAACACTATGTTTGTCATGACGGATTGGAGGAAGGATAATAGGAGAGGAATTGAAGAGTATATATTGAAGGTATTCTTGGTTTGACAAGAGAGATCCTTCAAATCCTTCATTGTTTATAATTTTCAATCTTTTTAATTTGAATAAATTAATTCTTATCATTTCATTCTTTTATAATTTGTATTATTTTTAATTTGAATGGAGTTCTTGTCATCTTTTTCATCTCTTGTTAACTAAACAATTAGATAGATAGTATGTCATCATTTAAGACAAAAAGATCCTAACATGATTTACGAAGTCATGGCTCATAACAGTAAAGATGTGGACAAATCCACCAATTTGACATGTTTGTTCATCAAATATAATAATTTACAAAAATTGAGATTTATAGTTTGGCTCACGGAGATGGTGATGATGATTTGATGATCACTAAAAGTGGTGGATGATACCTTTTGTTCAAGATACTTGCAAAACAAATCTTTTTAATTGAGTAAGATATCTTCTGACAATTAAATTAGTGATTGGGAGATAGCGAATTAGCCTAAAAAGACTTTTTTGAAGAGAGTATTTAATTGTATATAGGTAGTTTTACATTTGAAAGGAGATTAATGTAGAAATTAGAACATGTTTATAAATTATTTCAGAATGAGAAACTAGAACCAGTTTAAATGTTTTATCCTTTTTGGAGATAGTAGAGGAGAGTGATATCTTCCTCTTTTGAACCGAAGCATTGTTGTTTTGACTTTATGTAATTTTACTGATGTGTCCATTAATGTGTTTGACGAGAACTGCCCGGTAAAAAAATATTACATTGCAGTAAACTTTAGACAAGTTAATAAATTGTACTCTTAGGTGACTATAGATACTTAAATATAAAAAAGAAATCAAAGCTTGGGCATTGAAAAAAAAAAAAAAAACAAAAACAAAGGTTGGGTGCAAAAAATACAATTTTCTCAAGAAATTTATTGTTTTGAGATTGCAAAATTAATCTAACAAATTTCACTTGGTTGTATTACCAATAAATATTTTTCATATCATGCTCATGGCATTTTTTACTTATCAAAAACAATTTTTTAATACTTTGTGTTAGTTAAAAATTACCTTTTAAAAATTCTAAACCATTTTAGCTGTAATAACCAAAAAAAAAAAAAAAAAAGAGCACTTCCAACAATTTTTTTAAATTATTATTATTATAAAAAAATATACAAAAATCAAAAAATAAATTAAAAAAAAAGAGAAACAGATTGAAGTCTATCCTAATTTTTAAAATTCAATTTAGCTTGTTTGGATCGCCTTTTAATAACAGAATTTGAGTTCAAATTGAATAACTAAAAAATCTGAATTTTAAGGTATTTGATTTAAGATGAAACTTGAATTTAAAAGTGTTTGATTGAAAGTGAAACTGTCTGAAAAAAAAAAAAAAAAAAAAGGAAGGAGAAAGAGGGGAGAGAAAAAAAGAAAATTTTTGGAGCTTTGAAGGCAGCAGCATTCTGTCTCCTGGCATAGTTCTTTAGACCTTTAATTCTAGGCAAAATAGTCTTCAATGAGAGACGAAATCTGATCAGTAATAGTGTTCTTCAAATGCCTTCTCTTTGATCAATCTGCAAACAAAGGGAAAGTCAAACACCAATACAAAAATCAATTCAACCGAAGACCATCCCGGAGCCTCATCTTCAGCCGTCCAATCTGCATATCAACAGCCATAGTTTCAGAGTCACAGGTCAGCCATCTTTATCTCAATTTTCCTTTTAACTTGACTTTGGTGTTGTTGAAGTTTTGGATATTAGTTCGTCAAAATAAGATCTTTGAAAGCGTTGAAAGCGGCTCAGTCAGTTGGTTGTTAAAACGCAAGCTAACAGCTGCGAAATCAAGAGTAAGAGTGATACAAAATAGGAACTGAGAAATAAGAACATGAATGAGGGAGAATAAAAAAAAGCGATAAGATTTTGTGTGATAAAGAATAGAAGGGAAGATATGTGGGGCTAGTTACAGGCTGGAAGTCCAGCTTTTGATAATTTTTATTTTTATTTTTATTTTTTTAAAAAAGCTAGGACGTGGGTGGGATTTAGCCTAACCCATACGGATGCTAAGACTGGAGCTATGATCAGCCCAGCCTTAGCCTAGGATCCCGTTTTTAAAAGGGGAGCAGAAGTTGGATTCAATCCCACTCCTGCCTTCTTCTTTTTTTCCTTAAATTTTGCAAAGAAATTCATGTAAATAAAAGGAATGGGTCGTTAGTTGGAACTAAGGTATTTTCAAAGCAATAAAATATATATATAAAAAGAAAAACATAAAAAGGCAAAATAAAAAAAAATCAAAAAAATTAAAATATTAAGGTATTAGGATAAAATATATATTCTATGGTCTTTGATCACTTTAATTAGTGTACTTTTTAGTCTTAAATATATATATGTATATATATATTTTTTGATTTATATTTAATTCTAGCATTTAATTTTTCTATTATTATTTGTTAGTCCCGACCTTTTATTTATGCATGATTGCTATTAATAAAAAAATATAAAAAAATAATAAAATTCTCAACGAAGTCTCCTTTAGATAGGGATCTGTCGTTTCGATGATGAGGTCTTCTATTTGATAGGGACTCGTTGTCATAAAAAAAATCATCATTTAATAATCGGTGTGTCCTTCGATGCACCGGTTGCGTCGAGGCTTAAATTGGATCCGATGTTTAGACCGACGTGTCACCCGACGAAGGGGACCGACGATCGTTTCAATACGATGCCACGCTCAAAATAAAAAAAATCAAATTTTTCTAAAACAATTGTT